AGGGCCCAGTGGCATATAATGTAAGGCTGTCTAGGGACGTTGAGGGCTCATGGGGGCCATATAGGACCAATAGGGACCACATAAGTCAATCAGGGGCCATTTAGGCCAATAAAGGCACTTCAGGGGACTTGAAAAGGTCATTCAAGAGCTGTGGTGGGCCCATATGAGGGGACGGCACTGGTCCAGCAGGTGCAGTCAGGGGATGTTGTACGGGTTTCTCAGTGGCCCATTTCGGCATATCAGTGACCAATTTGGACCCAGCAGGGGGCTTTGTAGAACTATCAGGGGCTGGTGATGGTTCATCAGGGGCCAGCGTTAGTCCATCGGGGCACGGCATATGCCCATCAGAGGTAATTGCGAGCCCACGCTGAACAATGATGGCCCTTCAACGGCCCCTAATGGATCTACATTGACCCATGGGCCATGATGTGTCATGTATTCCCCCTATGACAGGCCTACTCAGACCCCTGATGGACATTCCCGGCCTCTGATGACCCTCTACTGAATGCTGATGGGGCTCTAAGTTTCTCCAATAACCCTTCGTCAACCCATTATTACCATACGCTGGCACTAGGGGCCCCACATCAGCCGCAGGGCAGTCCGTGCCATGACAGCATGTCTTTTCGGCCGATATTACATCGGTAATATTTATCAAAATCATGATTTTATTGTGTCATTATATAGCTAACAGTCATAAGAAATATATTTTAACTCGAAAACAGCTCCAAACAGCATATAATTTTAAAGAAACTCCTCCGAAATCTAAAAGCCTATTCGGGTCCATAGAGAATAACTGCGGTCCCCCGCAATTTCGTCACGAGCGTCGGACCAATCAGCGTCGAGTACTGCCGAGCGCTGATTGGTGAATTTTCCGCTAGCGTGTAAGTACTGCTCGCGGAACAAGAGTTCGTCGACAATCCTCCACAAACGTCTGTCACCATTTTTCGTAATGCTAAACAGCGGGAGCGTACCCCCCTGAGTTGACGGTAATGGTGACAGTGAGGGTAAGAGTTGAAGTGAAAATAAAATGTTTTTTTTGTGGTCATTTATTACGTATAGGTTTGTTTATGAGTAAAAGTCTATATTCTATTTTAAGAATACCTGATTAGGTATTTTGTCATTGTTTTATTGGATGCACTGCAAATCTGGTAATTTTTCTGCGTATGAATACCTATGCTTTGCCTGGAATGCGTTATGGCGTTATGGGACTCACGACACATTGACATGCCAACTACTCAGTTACGACTACTAGCTGTGTGTCATTGTATGCATGTATATTGTATTTATTGACATGATATGTTTCCTGCCTACATTATTAATCCTTTTCTCAGTTAATAGGACGTTCCAGGCTCAGACATAAGTTGATTCCTATAATATAGAGCAGGGGTCAGCAATCTATGGCCTGCAGGCCGGATCCGGGCCGCAGCAATCTGACGTCTGGCCTGCGACTGGTATCAGTACCTAGCTTACATTGTGTTCCGGCCTGCAGTTCCTTCAGAAATTGACTATCATACAAAATGTACTAGAGTGTGTTGGCACAACAACACAATACAATAACATACTTCCTATGGCATCTGATATTTATAGGTGCCCAGCCAGCAAATTAGTTCGGTTCCATTCTGTTTTGCCTTGGCAACTCCTACATACCACGGTGACTATAAATACGGTGATCTCATCTGGATTTGGTCACGTGATCATTTTCGAGCGCAGCGCACGTGCAGTTGTGGCGAGGGCACTTCCAGAAATTCTGGATCCATGCGATTTTGGAGCCAATGTAAAGTCTATGGGAAAATGGTCCATTTTTATTTGTTTTTCTTATCACACCTAAACTTTCAAGTTTTTCTCAAAGATTCACCCTGATTCATGTGTAGAATTGATTGGTCTTTAATATGGCATCAATTTTAGATTTTTATCGGATAATTTCAAAAATTACTTACCATTTAAACTACCAAAAGAGGTGATTGCGGCTAAGCATTGTGACAGCCATATCATGTCATTGGGAAATTACGCTTTCTTGTGCATCTTCATTTTAACTGTTCTCGAAGTTAGTACCTACTGGATGATTCATGCGTAGAATTTGTTGAACTTTTGTCTTGTGTCACTGTTAATGCATTTATGAAATATTTATTCAAGTAATTAAGTAATTTCGCCCCGGCCGACATGGACGCCGTTGTGAGCCGGTTTTGGCGTCGGGGAGAGAGAGAGAGAGAGAGAGAGAGAGAGAGAGAGAGAGAGAGAGAGAGAGAGAGAGAGAGAGAGAGAGAGAGAGGAGAGAGAGAGAGAGAGAGAGAGAGAGAGAGAGAGAGAGAGAGAGAGAGAGAGAGAGAGAGAGAGAGAGAGAGAGAGAGAGAGAGAGAGAGAGAGAGAGAGAGATAAAGACCAGGGGCCATCGGTGAGGCGGGAGCTCCACGACAGGTACTGGGAGCGGGCTCGCCTTTTCCTCGTAGTGACCCATCAAGGCTGGGCGGCGGCGGTACTAGTTTCGCAAGAGACAGAGACATGGAGCGACTCGGGACTCGTCTCAGTCCGGCCGCCACCCAGCCGCCCGCCGCGCCTGGCCGGGCTGCTGCTTCGCCGGCCGGGTGGTGCGGGCGGCCCTCCCGGCTCCTGCCCATCTGGGATGCGCTCCCCATCCGCAGGGCGTCGGCGGCGCCCAAGAGGCACAAGAATAACGGCGGTGCTGCGGGCGGCTTGTGGGGTGACGGTGCCGCGCTCCTTCCCCGGCTCCTCGCCGTCCGTCCCCCCTCCCCGGTGCCGTTTTCTTCCAGGGGAGGTGTCCCGGCCGCCGTGCCGGGGCGTAGCGCAGTCCGTGCTTTCAGCACAGCAAAATATCCACCCAGGCTAGATTAAGGTAATGACAAACTAGGATTAAGAGTGGCTACAGACTTCAGACATTATGCAGACTTAACATTAAGATATTATATATGCAACTAAATGACACACATGGTGTTTGTTCTAACCTTCTCAACAGAAAGTGAACATGTCAGGACAGCACCCCTTGGTGACCATTATACTCAAGGGGTGTAGGCACTGATCCCCCAGGGGTGAAGTGATAGGAGCACAAACATGAGTCACTAGTTAGCTCTGTGTCTTTCCTCCTGCAGGAAAAATATATGTGTGATGCCCAATGTGACTGGTAACTGCATATTATAAAGCTGGAAATATTGTACAAAGTTATGACAATACAAGCAAACAATGCATGTTACTGCTCTTGTTATTCCTATATGAGACCTCACAAGACACAAAAATATGCATGGTAAAAAAGGGAGCAACAATACATTTCAAATGTAGCTTGCATTAAAATGATCATGGATTTCACTACATCAAAAGTGAATGAAATTAAGTGATAATCAAAGACTCTGAAAAAGAAGATCAGCATAACCATAGATATGTAGACTACATATGTCTTGTTTCCAAAGCTAAAGTATGATCCTCAATGTTGTAAAAGTTGGTTGGCTTTTACAATAACTTTGAATAAAAAACAACATATGGTAAACACAATTCAAGGAAATGCCAAGATCCATCCAACCTTTGACATGCCCTGTTTGGAATGCTGTTAAACATGCTATGATCTTCTCAGAATACGAAAAATCAACTCAAAATATTACCTTCTTTTATTACAAATAAAATCCCATGAATTTCACTATTGTGACTGCAGAGCTCATTCAGTCAATCAGAGACCGTGCAGAGACTTCATCATTCAAACAGAGAATCAATGTGCAAAGACTAACACTTTAAAATCTACAGACTTTTCACAAACATCTTTCATGCTACAAGCTTATGCCTACTCAACACTTTTTTTCATGACTCGAATATGGTGGTGTTCATTTTAAGTGAAAACATTCATCCAGCACTAAGCAGATTATTTCTAACCTCCACTAAGTCCCAATTTCTGCTATATTTCGTTTGGAGTCACTTCATAGTTTGAATTCAAGGTGCCTTGTGGATTTACCCCAGTTATGTAGGTAAATACACAAGGATTTATCGACTTCACCTCAGTTATGTAGCTGCTCCCTTAATTTAAGTTTCTCGTGAAATTTCATTGAGGCGTTGCAAGATGGGCTGTAGCCAAATTCTCTTTCCTGTTTAGCTGATGCTCATAATACCTCAACATTTTTCATTCCAATTTTTGTAGCTGTTAAAAATTGATGAAGACCCATCCACCTAGACAACAATGACGTTACAGAGGAAATCCCTGGCTGTGTTTCACCGGCGCGCTGCCAGCCGCTGCCAGCGCATTCCGTGAGCTAGCGTCAACCTCTGGTAGTGTCGGAGGTATAGGCTTGTTGATGTCTCTATGTAAGCCAAAAATGGCTGGCAGAGTGCCGCGAAACACCACCCTTATTTTTGCACAAAAATGGTGTGATAACTGTTCCTGCAAGAACATATAAGGTGAAATGAAGTAAAATCAGGTCAAACATTAATATATACCCAAAAGAGGCAGTGTATGGAGTACCTATGTTCACATTACCAATAATATGATGCACAACAGGCCATAGAAAAACCGGTGAATGTTGAATTGTAACCCAATTTCAATATCAACATAGCACTTGGCATTGACAATAAAACACACCGTTTTTGATGTTAAATCAACAGAAAAAACTCCTGAACATAAACAAAATGATCAGAATATATAATAAGGATAATAGTATAAATAAAAATCGACGAATCGACCTATCATCGCCCCTACACATTCAACACTTCCAAGTGCTTCCAAGTCCCAATCCCCATTCCACGCACAGATTGTTTACCTCTTGGTTTACCCCGTGTTCGCAGTCTCCCGGACGACGAAGATTCTATACACCGTTCGACCAATCACGTTCAAGATCAGCGGGGCTTGGCCGCGGTTCTCGAACGCCATTGGCCAGATTACGCAGAATCTTCGTCGTCAGGAAAACTGTGAACACGGGGCTACATTTTTCGCTACGGTAACAAAAGCGCCAGAATTGACTACCAGAATTGGATCCGAAGGTCAAATGGGTCACGTGACTGTGCAGTTCAGATGGACAACACCTGCTACATACCATACCAGATTTAAGCCGGAGTAAATAGAACGCCCTCGGAACAGGGGTATGGGTCGCTATGGCTCGGAATCGGCTAGCCATCTTTCCCGCAGTGCTTGAAGGTGGTGTGGTTTCGCTCCAGCTATAGTGTTACACCATTGCGGTGTGCTACGGCTATGTCCGGCAGTGCCTCGTAGCTGCTCTAGCTTACTGTGGCTGAAGTAGGTACTGTTGAGGTACGACACGACTAGCATAAGTCCGGCCACGGCGCTGGTGTGCTCCGTGATCTTGGGTCAGCTGTAGAAGAGCCCCCCTAGCTAGCAATTTGGTTTGGCTCAAGTCCGTTTTGCCCCGGCAACTCAGACATGCCACGTCATTTGGACCGGTGTAAACGGAACGCCATCGGAACAGGAGTCGGGTCGATATGGCCCTCTATTCCGGTTAGCCAACCTCTGCCGTAGCGCTGCGCTCCAAAGTTGGTATGGTTTCGCACCGCCAAATTCGGCTGTCTGCCAAGGCGTGCTATCAGCTATTGCTAGGTCCGGCTGTCTCGTAGCTCGTAGCTGTTCTGGCTTCCTGTGGCTGGAGTACGGTTGAGGTAAGGCACGGCTGATTGTGGTACGAGCGGGCTCCGGGATCGCGTGTCAGCTCCAGAGCCCCAGATCCTGCCCATACCTCGGCCGGAGTAAGATGCCGCAGCTAGCCAGAGCAAAACCAAATACGGTCCAGACTTATTTTGTTGGCGAGCCACAGCTTTTCAGTTCTTTGGCCGGAGTAAAAATGCTGGAGCTAGCCAGAGTAAAACCAGATACAGACCAATTTTGCTGGTTGGGAGCCATGGGAGGTATCTGATCAGATAATAAAGATTGCTTAGTGATTTGTGTGATTGCAAAATGCAATTACTCAAACTAAGCTTATAAGTGATGTCTTTATAGACTGCAATGTTTGGAGGTAGGCAAACATCATAGGTTGGGTTAGGTTTGATTAGGTTTAGTTAAAGTTTAGATTTTGTTATTTTTGGTTAAGTTCCTACGTTAGTTTTGACTTGTTTAGGCTACTTTTAAAATAGATGTAATTGTTTGTACCTTTGAGGAGTGAAATACACTGAGGACCAAGTGGAGATGACGATCAGCAGTGAGTAATGGAGTGCTTAAATGTGCTTTCCTACATGCCGGGGTATGTCTTAAGCACAGCACGAGCCGGGCAGTAAAACTATGACCAAGAAACTGTCGGTGTCAAAATGCCATGTTATTTAATAGGCCGGGCAGGAAACAAAAGTTTACTGCCTGGGTTTACTGCCCAGGGCAATGACCTCTCAACTACAGTTAATCGCATTCGCCCAGAGGTATAATTGACAGGGAATGTATAATTGACATCATTATTGCATGATATTTGCCGCGTAAAATTAAAAAACTAACATTTCTTGGTAAAACATATCTTATGAAGGGTCTTGAAATATTTTGCATTGGCTACAAAGCCGAAATTATGGTAAGATATGCGCCTATTAATCGAAATCCGTTATCGCTTGTTCTCATATCTTCGTGTGATTTGTCCACTGATACCTTGGGCCTAAGTTGTTGCGTTATTGTTTGACAGTTGTAGTCCTTTCCTGGAAACAAACATGTAAAATATGGAAATATAATGTATTTCACGAAAGTTTAGCCATAGGGCATCAACAAAGTGTGATTACAAAAATAAAGAAAAGATTCTTGCAAGAGCACTGGAAAATTTACGTTAAATCACTATTATAATACCTTCTTCTTGTTATAATGTCGTGGTAAATTATTCATGCATTATGTTCCTTGGATATCCAGTTGTGCCATTCTGAGTTGATATTTTCAGACGCGATTCTTTTTGAAGTAAGGAATTTTGATGCATTTTCTTCTATAAATTTCCTTTAGAGCTTTATCCACAGCCGTTGCGCAATCACTGTTCGGTAATTATAGACAAAACAATTGTATAAAAGTGTCACCAAAACCTGTCGAAACTACTTAGCATGTATGCGGCATGTAGGAAAAATCTTACTGACCTCAGCCGCACGAAATTATTTGGAAACTCGGCTTGCAAAATTTGACTCCGGCCCTCGTGCTCCGCACTCGGGCCTCCGTCAATTTTGCAAACCTCGTTTCCAAATAATTTCGTCGGCCCGGTCAGTAATATATAATCTGACTCTGAGACATGTTTTGATGTCAGTTTTTCCAGTGTTTCAGGAAAAAAATCTTGCAGTTAAGGGTATGTAATTGCTAGATAATTGCATTATAGCATGATGTGATATTAAGCAGCTCCATTTAACAACTACAAATGCAAGGGGACATTGGTTACTCCAACCCTTTCCTCGCCAAATTTTTATTACCCATGTAACCCCTTTATTCTGGAGCAATGCTTCAGAACATACACTTAACCCGCGCGGGGCTGGGGGGGGGTAAATTTTACCCCCCCTCGCGAATTTTTGCGATATCTCAAAAACGGCGGCGCGCAGCGCCGCCAAACTTTCAGTACCTTTTCTTACATCAATTTGACACGTTCCCTGAAAATTTGAGCGAAATCCGTCGGAAATTTTTTTTTTGAGAAATTGACGTTTTAGTGACGTCATGTTCGCCATTTTCGCCTCAAAAACGGCAAAAGTTCAAACGCCGCTAACATCTTCATTTTTAAAGGAATCAAGACGTAACAAAAAAGGTTATGCGTAATTTTACTTTGTCTATCAAATGGCTATCTCGGTTTTTTTGAAAATTTTGGATTTTGGCCTAAATTTTTTCAAAAAACTGACTTTTGGGAAAATCATTATAAAATCCAAAATTTTGAGTCTATCGAAAAAAACCGGAATATATGTCAGAGAAGCTGTCTATGTGCACCTACATACCAAATTTTAGAAGAATCGGTTCAAAAATGTGGGAGTTATTCAAAATTTTATGACGTCACGACACACAAAATTTTTGAAAAATGACTTTTTTGGAAGTTCTAGGCCTCGTACGGAAACAAAAATAGCACCATTCGATTTGCCGTGAAAAACTGCATCAGATAGACACCTTTTTAGGCCTTAACAACCAACTTCAAAATTTGACCTCACTTGACCTGACCTTGACCTGACCTCGACCTGAAATTCATCCAGAGGTGGTCCATATCACTTATTGAGTGTGCCTATTGAGTTCTATGAGTAAAATGACCCATAAAACATGTGTCGCACATGCCCTTTTCTATATTTTGTTTTTTGGTGACCTGACCTGACCTGACCTGACCTGACCTTGACCTTGACCTCTGAATGATATCGTATGCAACGAATATTGTCTTGGTAGCCTAAGAACACGTTTTGAGTGATCAGTCTCAGTCCATGACTCCATACTTCGGGAACTACGGTGCAAGGCCGATACTGTAGAAACTTGCAATTTGTACCCTTGACCTGACCTTGACCTTGACCTCAAACTTTAAATTAAGTACATGTTTTTAGTAGTTCGTGATGAGAGCTTTCGATTGGCGTTTGAATTTTCCAAATCGGACCATTAGTTCGGGAGATAACAGGGGGGGGGGAGTAAAATTTACCCCCCCCCCCAGCCCCGCGCGTTCGGCTGGAGACCCCAGCCCCGCGCGGGTTAAGTGCAAAGCACCTATGACATACTGATAACTGTCTGTGTTTCAGATTTTGTTATAAACAACTAGGAAGATAACATCTGCAGGTCAGCAAAAATGAGAAAAATGAATATAGTTGCAGCAATGGCCAGCAACAGAGGCATAGGGTGCAACGGCGATTTGCCTTGGAGGTTGAAGTAAGTAGTTTCACGCAGTGATTATCCCTATTTTGTGAAAAGCTGTCTTTCAGGCGACAGAAACGGTGCAACACTAGGAAGCTAGGAGCATAGCATACCTAAATGACCACAGCACTCAGCAGTCATTGCACCATTAAGCCCTGATAGTTAGATAGTTAGTTGCACCATTAACCCGCGCCGGGCCGGTGCTCTGAGATTCCGCGCCGGGCCGCGGGGGGTGTCTGAACACCCCCCCCCCCCTTCTAACTCGGCTCCTGGGCCACTTAGCGACACGCGGTAAGCGGCAATCGAAAGAACGTCAAAAATAAGGACGAAAACACTCGCCGTTTTTGAGCTATCTGCGAAAAACCGCAAGGGGGGGTGTTCAAACACCCCCCCCCCCCGGCCCGGCGCGGGTTAAGCTCTATGCGCTGCCGGGGGGCAACATCTTTCGCAACAGATCTTAATAGGCTCTAAGTCTACACTGATTGCACTGATCACTCGGATCGTGACAGAATCTGATCTCGGGAATAGCCCTGTCATAGGTTCTGGATTAGTCTGTGCTGTGACAATATCAGGCCCACGCATGACTGTGTTCAATATGCATTGAATTGTTCGCAACACAACATTCATATTTTTCAGCTTTTCAGCTTTTTCGTTCTTGGTCTCGTCTTGATCTAAGGAGCCAACATTCAACTTGACTCTTTTGAAAAGAAATGTTGTGTCTTTTCAATGAAACGTAACTTTTTTCTGCTTTGGGTTGTGGGCTTTCTTACAGCACATAGGGAAAGCAGCATCTTCGCAGCATCTCCTTGGTGTATCCTAATTACCAGTATAGCGCCTTTTGGGGCGACTAACGGAGCGAGCGAGAGGGTGAGCCTTGCACGTGCGAAATTTCGAGGGGGTACCTCCAACTGACTTGTGCACGGCACCCTACTAACCGGTCTCTAGCGATGTGCCAAATTTGAGCACAATCGGCCCAGCCGTTCTCGAGATCTGGAAGCGGCACCCTGCACGTGCGCACGTGCAAAATGGGTCCCAACTGACTTGTGCACGGCACCCTACTAACTGGTCCCTAACCGTGTACCAAATCTGAGCGCCATCGGTTCAGCCGTTCTCGAGATCTGGAAACGACCCCTGCACGTGCGCACGTGCAGCAGCACCCCAACTCTGGCACATGGATATGCAGTGCCTAGTGGGCGCCTACCTACATGCCAACTTTCAGCGCAATCGGCCAAGTGGTTACCGAGATATTGCAACAATTACAAAACTGACACCTCTTCGTTTTGCACGTGGCACGTGCATAAGGGGTCACCCACATGCATCGGGAATAGTCCAATACTTGGTAGAAGGAATGAAGCTACCCTACAAAAATTACCGCGTGTAAATCGGTCAAGTGGTTGCTGAGATATAAGCCTCGCAAAAGCGTCCGCACGGCCGGCCGGCCGGCCGGCCGGCCGCTCATACTCAGAAATTTCCGTTAATCTAAGGAAAGACTACGCTCGCTTCGCTCGCTCCGTAATCAATAGGTACGTATCTATCTATTTAAATGTCACCAAGCTTCCACGCAAACTGAACCTTTTGTGCTAAATTTCTCGAATTACTGCGACTGATTCACTGCATAAAGCAGTGTGTGGCCATTATCATCAAAATCCTTTTGACCAATAGGCATATTTGCTGTCGTTTCGTTCTCTTTAGGAAGGAGTTTAAACACTTCACCTCATTGATTCGTCGGCTGGATGATCCCAGCAAAAAGAACGCTGTCATCCTCGGACGAAAGACCTGGGAATCTGTACCAGCCACAAGTCGACCCATCAAAGGCAAAATTAACGTCATCGTCACATCTCAAGCTGACTAGTGAGTACTGACTATTATGCAATTTCATCGCTGAATGTTTATCGTTTCTATGAATCTTTACTGATGTAATCCACAAATATTCATGGTACCTGTCAGCCAAATATTGGATGCTGCATTGTGGAATGAACAATGAACATACCAGTCCTGCTCGGATGACCTGACCGACGGCCGTTCTGTTTCGGCGCTGCAGCACGGCCTCAGGTGAGGACGTGTACGTGGCTCACAGTCTGGAGGAGGCCATGACACTGCTCTCCTCGCCGCCACTCTCGGACACTGTGGAGACGGTGTGGAACCTCGGCGGGTCCTACATCTACAAGGTGGGCAGGGGGAGCTCATGGCTGTGTCTTGTTAAGTCTTCACTATTTGTGTTTTTTAACCACAATTACCTAATGATATGCGTTAGTTAGAGCGCAACAGTTTCAGACCTCACTAAATGACAATAATTGTTTTCCATTTCCCAGGTTCTGTATGAGCCAGAATTAGTAATCCATGAAGCTAAACGAGGCCCATAAAATAAATGAACGATGTATGTTCAAATGAGTAGTCAGATTGTGGTAGTCTCAATGCGAACGGCTTTGTCCATTTATATTGGTTGAGAGGAAAGACAGTAAATAATGTATCGTGTCGCACGACATTCCAGGAGGCGATAGACAAGAAGCTGGTGGACAAAATGTACCTGACCCGCATCAGGAAGGAGTTTGACGCCGACGTCTTCTTCCCGTTGTACTCTGACGACGACTTTGAGCCTGCCAGGTAAGTTCCGCCGGGGCTGGTCGGTTGGCTGTGGTACTGAGTCCACTGGGGAGTGTTTAGCCGCGCCGGCCCTGGGGCGCGGTCACCGGCAGGACGCTCAGCCGGGCCTCTGGGGCCGCCCCACCGGCGCCGGGACGCACCGAGCGGCCTCTGGGGCCGCCCCACCGGCGCCGGGACGCGCCGACGGCGCCCTCTGCGCTGGACGGCACGGCGAGCTATCGTAGAATATGCCGTGGTAGTCGCAGAGGGTCATGGCCCCTCCCCCTCCCCTAATTCTCGATATTACGGCTAGGGCAGTACTTTAAACGAAATGACCACCTGAAGCTTCTTATACCGGACCCACTCGAACAACTTTACTGTGACATTTGACCTATAAGTTTTACTTAACAGCGGTAGGCTTGCGTCAGGAGCAGATGCAAGATATTTCATCGCGTTGTCTGGTTATCTACGAAAATAGTTAAGCGATTTCACCGGGCTAGGCAAAGTTATATTAAAGGAGGAAAACATAAGTAATCGGTGAATAGTAAGCACGACAAAGCATATGCTCCCTAGATTTAGATGCGTGTCGTTTACAATACAGTAAAGCAAGGTCACCCAATTACATGTGCTGCATCTTGCGCAAATCTGTGTAGCTATTGAATAAGGATGGAGTTTTGACCGCCCGCACGGGGCGTGTTTCAGCGACCCCGACGTACCCTCGGAGGTTCAGGAGGAGAATGGAGTCGAGTGGACGTACCACGTGCTGAAGATGAAGTGACCGCTGATGGTGACCCAATACTCGGCAAACCTTAGGGACCAGAACGTCACATCAATACTCAGAGTTCAGGAACTGTCTGGTTGCGGGGACCATGATATTATCGCGTACCCTGTTCTCGTTAATGGTGTTAATAGAGATCGGATTGTCAGCAGTGGGTGGGGTTAAGTGCCATTCCATATGATTGGTGGGTCGGGCCTTGAATGAATATTGGGTTTTGCAATCCTATTTTTATAGAGACATACATTTTCCTTAAATCCATGTTTGTTGGAGACTTGAGTGTATATGAAGTTCCGAAGGTAATATATGGTAATATGAAGTTAATACGAAGTATGAAGTAAATGGCTAGCCGGATTTTCTTATTTAAACCGTGCAGATAGTTTTCCCGATGTTAACTGCTGCCGTCGGGTAAATTGTCATCACCACGGTCTGTCTGTCATCATGCTAGCAGTATTATTTACTGGTGTAAGGCCTCTTTGTCGGTGAAGAAGCGAGAGGAATAAAACGTAACAGTTTTCATGTACAGATTCCTTCTTTGCCGCTACAGCTGCTCGCTAGTTACATTGAGGCGGGCGCGGGTGTGCAATAGTGAAGTAAAGCGTGAAAATGCATCGCCTAGTGGATGCCTATTGATCAGTCTGCATAAGTTTGTTTCCGAATATTTTGAAATTCCTGACTTACCACACGCCGCCGTGTGCCGTGACGTCACACAGATGCGTCGTGTAGCCGCTTTCGGGGTAGAAGAAAGGGTACCTAATGCTACTGACCCGCAAACGTAAGCAGTTTGTAAGTGCGATTGCGAAGGTGAATCTTCACAGACGCGTAACAAGTCGAGCCAATCATACGAAGACTTTCGGAATGCGGAGGACTGGCATTGTCCTGGCTCGCAACCGCGTGCCATGCTATGTCATACTGTGTCCTAAAAAGATATTTGCAGAAGGCATGTGTAACACAGTGGTAAAACATATACTTCACGCGAATACAGCTTTCATTGTGCATCACACCGTCGATGCCACTTGTATCAATAGCGTCATGAACAATTGATCAGACTTGAAAATATCTATTGACTCCTGAAAAAAAAACATTTGTCAAAGTCGCGGTGGAGGCCTAAAAGTGATCGTAGCGACTAAACTTCCAAACGTCACAATTCCGCCGATCAGAAATATCAACGAGTACCCGAAGTCTTCCAGCAGGAAGTCTATGAGTGCGGTGGCCACGGGCTGTGGCAGGCCTCCGGACACAAATATCACCCCGTAAATCTGACCCGTGTTCTTCTGTCCAAACGAGTTCGCTGTGCCCGTCACCACCAGAGAAAACGTCCCCGAGAACGAGAAAAAGATGGCCCAGATCCAGGTCAGGTAGAGGCCGCGCCCCACCTGTGCGGCTGCGTCCAGCGTGAACATGAGGGAACAGAAGAGGCCCGAAAGAACCACCATAGTCGGCTTATACCCGAACCCGTCGCAGAGCACGCCCCAGCCGAGGCGGCCCAGCATGCTGAACACGGACGAGCCGGAGCCCACCAGCTCCAGAAAGTGGTCGTCCTTGATGTACACCTGCCCAAAGGCCTTCCACAAAGAGTTGATGATTGACACGGAAAAGCAGTTCAGCATGTACGCCAGTAGTAGCTGGTAGAACGCCAGCGTTCTCATCGCTTCTTTCAGTGTGTAGGCGCGGGTGCTGCCGTCCAGACTCACGACAGACATGTTCCGTTCGGCGTGTTTCTCGACATCGTGGTCCATCTCGTCTGCCAGCTCGAGTTTGGCCTCGCGGCGCTCCGAGGTCACTATCCGGGCTCGGCCCAGCGGAGGGTTCCGCATCCCGGCGAGACAGAGCAGCTGGATGCCGGCCGCCACGGCCGCCTGCACGTAGAATACGTCCGGCACGCGCTCCAGCAGCTCCTCGTCGTGGAAGAAGCCGTCGCTGTCCGTCGCCACGTTGTCCGGGTTGAGGAAGCTGGTCTGCAGCGTGGTGAAGAGGATGCCGCCGAGGCCGTAGCCGCCGACCACCACGCCGCTGACGACGCCCTTGTTGTGCGGGAACCAGCGATACCCGACCAGAAGCGGCACGCCATACACCAGGCCGACGCCGAGTCCGTTCAGCACGCCGTACGTGACCAGCACCCAGCCGAACGAGCCGTCCACGGCCAGGCCCGTCAGCGCGATGCTGCTGGTGGTGACCAGACAGCCGAGCAGCACCACCAGCCGCGGCCCCAGCCGCTGGTACAGCACGCTGCCGGGCAGCAGCGCCAGGCCCTCGGCCAGCGCCATGCACGTGCCCACCCAGGCGGTGCGGCCGTAGCCGATGTCCTGTCCGCGCTGCACGTGCAGGTACGAGGTCAGGTAGGTGGTCAGGTTGCCGAACGTGAAGAGGCCGCCGAGCGAGAGCTGCAGGAAGAAGCCGGAGACGAGTGCGGCCACGCCGCCGGGCGGCAGTGCGCGCACGCTCGACGTCAGCCGGCGTAGCGCGCCGGACGCCCTCTCCATCATCGTGCCCGTCTCTGTCGGAGACAGACGGCGGCTGGAGAGCCGGTGGCTGGTGACCGGTCACGGCGGATTCCTGGGCCGCTGGTCAGTGGTGGTCAGTAGCCCACCGAGTCTGTCCTTCCGGTTGGGTCGAGTTGAACCTCGGTCCTCTTACTAGGGACCTCTCAGTTGTGCGGACTGCCAACCTGAAAGGCAATGGAAGGTTAACTCTCGACGCTCCTATTGGTTATTGGCATTTTCGTTTTAGGCTGCAATAATCGCGCGAGCCTACCTTGCTCATCCTGGCACAGCTAGCGGCTGCTCTCCGGGTGTTATGTGTCCGCCATACCATGATATTTTGCCAAAGATATGATAACCGGGTGAACGCGATCGTCACGGCTGGGATGACGATCCTCAAGAGCCGATTCTTCAAGAGGCTATTTCTTTAAACGTGGGTCGTGCTTAACAAAATTACTTGCTGAATAAGCTAGGCCGGTCTCTGCTGACTGCTCTGTCCATCGGTGGCAACCCGGTGTCGCTGCGACCCTCTGTTGCCGATACATAAGCCCGGGAAGCAAGAAATGTCGGTCCGCTTTTCGGCCGGTCGCTGTTTTTCCGCGCCCTATGTTCAACCAATGTCGAGCGTGCCTGGTGTTCCCGACCCTCCCAAAGACGCACCCCTGGTCGCACCGGACCCAAATTTTGGATACGATGGTCTTCCCCACGCATAGATTACACCTGCCAAATTTGCCCCCCTGCGCGGTGCCCTGGCTCTAAATGCGTATCTGCCAAACAGTAGCTCACCGGGGGTGAACACCGAACGGCGAACATCGCAGCTTTCATACGCACGGCCACAACTCTGTATGCATACGCAAGGTACGGAGAAGGTTACCCAGTCCATTCAGTGGTGGCTCCATCTCGACGAAAGTGGTGCAAGATGTAGGTACATTAATGAACATGGAATATGTTTGGGGCTCAAGCACAGTGAACCGTTTGTGGTCAACGCCTGTTGTTAGCATATACGATGAATTAAATGGAAGCTGAGGCAATTTTCAAAATCCCAGACACAAACAGACCAGACATTTTACAATTTCCCCGGTCTTGGGCACCTAACCAATCGTTAGACTGTATCATGCACATGTGTTCTCCTACCTTTCCAGAACGCGATGAGCTGTTTCACAGCTGGAAGGCTGGATTAGCTGCTGCCGCAGTGTCGGCGGAAGAGGGTTGGCCGGTCGCTCCTCGCCGCGCACCTCTCCCCGTTCACGGAGCCGCGTCGGTCCCCCGGCACTCCCCCTGACGGAGCTCCACTGGCGCCGAGCGTCCGACAGAGACCGGCCCAGTTCCGCCGCCACCGACAGCCGGCCGCTATCTGCCGCAGTCGTTCGCTGTCCACCTATCTCATAGGTTCACTGTAAAAAATATTTACCTACTTACTTCATGTTATCGCGGCAAATCTCACTAACCTAAAGCGTGTTAGTTTCACACGCTTCTACTGACCAAACTTGTTTCATATATGGAGCCCACTTATAAAAGGGGTTATCAACTACTGCATTAGTTTTCGACGCCGTGTTAGCATAAACATCTTACACGTGCAACTTTGACAATGTGTGAAAGCAAGGGGTGTTATCATATGTGACACAGTTTTAAGACATTGTATATTTCACGCGAAAACAGCATTCATTGTGCATTACTCAATACAATGCAACATATCTCAATAGCGTCATGAACAATTGATCAGATTTGAATATATCTATTGACCTCTGAAAACATTTGTCAAAGTCGTGGTGGAGGCCTAAAAGTGATCGTGGCGATTAAACTTCCAAACGTCACAATGCCGCTGATGAGAAATATTAGCGAGTACCCGTAGTCTTCCAGCAGGAAGTCTATGAGCGAGGTGGCCACCGGGCCCAGCAGGCCTCCGAACACAAATATCACCCCGTAAATCTGACCCGTGCTCTTCTGTCCAAACGAGTTCGCTGTGCCCGTCACCACCAGAGAAAACGTCCCCGAGAACGAGAAGAAAATGGCCCAGATCCAGGTCAGGTAGAGGCCGCGCCCCACCTGTGCGGCTGCGTCCAGCGTGAACATGAGGGAACAGAGAAGCCCCGAGAGCGCCACCATCGTGGGCTCGTACCCGAACCCGTCGCAGAGTACGCCCCAGCCTAGGCGGCCCAGCATGTTGAACACGGACGAGCCGGAGCCCACCAGCTCCAGAAAGTGGTCGTCCTTGATGTGCACCTGCCCAAAGGCCTTCCACAAAGAGTTGATGATTGACACGGAAAAGCAGTTCAGCATGTACGCCAGTAGTAGCTGGTAGAACGCCAGCGTTTTCATCGCTTCTTTCAGTGTGTAGCCGCGGGTGCTGCCGTCCAGACTCACGACAGACGTGTTCCGTTCGGCGTGTTTCTCGACATCGTGGTCCATCTCGTCTGCCAGCTCGAGTTTGGCCTCGCGGCGCTCCGACGTCACTATCCGGGCTCGGCCCAGCGGAGGGTTCCGCATCCCGGCGAGACAGAGCAGCTGGATGCCGGCCGCCACGGCCGCCTGCACGTAGAATACGTCCGGCACGCGCTCCAGCAGCTCCTCGTCGTGGAAGAAGCCGTCGCTGTCGGTCGCCACGTTGTCCGGGTTGAGGAAGCTGGTCTGCAGCGTGGTGAAGAGGATGCCGCCGAGGCCGTAGCCGCCGACCACCACGCCGCTGACGACGCCCTTGTTGTGCGGGAACCAGCGATACCCGACCAGTAGCGGCACGCCATACACCAGGCCGACGCCGAGTCCGTTCAGCACGCCGTACGTGACCAGCACCCAGCCGAACGAGCCGTCCACGGCCAGGCCCGTGAGCGCGATGCTGCTCGTGGTGACCAGACAGCCGAACAGCACCACCGGCCGCGGCCCCAGCCGCTGGTACAGCACGCTGCCGGGCAGCAGCGCCAGGCCCTCGGCCAGCGCCATGCACGTGCCCACCCAGGCGGTGCGGCCGTAGCCGATGTCCTGTCCGCGCTGCACGTGCAGGTACGAGGTCAGGTAGGTGGTCAGGTTGCCGAACGTGAAGAGGCCGCCGAGCGAGAGCTGCAGAAAGAAGCCGGAGACGAGTGCGGCCACGCCGCCGGGCGGCAGTGCGCGCACGCTCGTCGTTAGCCGGCGTAGCGCGCCGGACGCCCTCTCCATCATCGTGCCCGTCTCTGTCGGAGCCGGACGGCGGCTGGAGAGCCGGTGGCTGGTGACCGGTCACGGCGGATTCCTGGGCCGCTGGTCAGTGGTGGTCAGTAGCCCACCGAGTCTGTCCTTCCGGCTGGGTCGAGTTGAACCTCGGTCCTCTTACTAGGGACCTCTCAGTTGTGCAGACTGCCAACCTGAAACAGAATTGGCAAGGTTAGCTCTCGACGCCCCTATCGGTTTGTTACATAGCTGCTAGCCGAGGAATGAGGGTACTTCCTCGCATGTCATTTCGCGCCTTATTGTCGTATGTAGAGCTTCGCGGAAAAAAAGCGTGAGCGCCGTTGAAGACCCATGGGTTGGTTCCCAATTTTGCAACATCGTATTGCCTCAATCTATTCAATGCCGTAGAATGGCTTTCCCTTGTCGACCTACACTGCATCTCTGGCACTCGCACCGGTCTTACCAACCGACGCCGTCAGAGACGTGCGCCCGCATTGTCATGACTGCGTTCCCGGCCTTCTCAAACTCGGCACACCGCGTCAGTCGGGGTCCGTATGTTCTGGTTCCTCAGTCTTTCCTGAAGGTGCGTGCCGCGGAAACCACAGGTGACCGACCGCGCCGGAATCCCTCCAGGGTTCTGTGGTCGCTAGGATGGTCGGGGTAGGGCAGTTCGCTCAGTTAGGTGATCCTAGACGCGAGTATTTCCACGGACTCGCAAGGAATGTAAGTTTGATTACATCGAAATCAAACTTTTGTTCACGTTACTCACCGAGCCCTGGTAATCCACTTGTTCCTAACAAGCACCGCTTCACTTGTTCCGTCGTCGCTAGTGACTAAGTAACTATGCAGCACTAAGTTACCGGGTCCTATCGACGTGTTATGATGAGCACACGCTGCGTATATGTAGTGTATGCTGTCGATCCGGCCCGACACGCTGCGACCCGCCGCGCTGACTGACCCCATCAGTCACCCGCTGAGCTTTTATCAACAGCGCGTCGCGTCGCACGGTGCATGCGCATTGCGGCCGCGCGCTCCCACCCAGCGGCGGCCGCGTGCGCCGACCCAGCGGCGGTCACCGCTCGCGGCGGCGGAGCGGCCAACCCACTCAACGCGATCCGCCTCTCGACCAGACGTATCCTAACAATAACGGGTGCCATACGGCCTCTCATAGGGGTAACAGGACTCGGTCTAAGTTTTATTTTCATTTTCCTCTAACTGGCCATATTTGCTCAACTGGATACTTTTTTCCGTTTTAGTCTACAATAATCACGCGAGCGTACCCTGCTCCTCGTGGCACAGCTGGCGACTGCTGTCCGGATGTTATGTCTCCGCCATAGGCATACCATCATATTTTGCCAAAGATATGATTACCGAGTGAACGCGATCGTCACGGCTGGGATGGTGCTGCATGTGTGTACATGCAGGTTCAGCTTTTATATCTGAAAATAACTGCCGGACCGATTGCATCCAAAGTTAGTGCGCCGGTTGGGACCGGTTGGAAGGATGGCTCACACAAGTCCGTTGGGGTCCCACTTTACACTTGCATACGTGCGGGAGCCGCTTGAATGTTTCAAGAACGACCTGGCTGATTACTTTAAAGTGAGCAGGTACAGGGAGCAACTAAATGGTTGGCCCGTTCAAATTAGTGACAAGTCTCCCTTTATGCGCACGTTCGCGCTTGCAGTATTGCGCTCGTTCGTTCTTTGCCCAAAAAAGACGTTTTGCTGATAATACGAGTAAATACCTAATAATGATTCTTATGACAAAAAGTGGTTGGTACCTACAGGGTGTCCCAGAATTACCCGGACATTTATTTTCTGGCTAAAAGTACGACTGCGCTCGTTTCTGATGATATACAAGCATCATACTTTTAGAAGATATCCCTTAGCTATCGAGATTGGGGACTGTGTGCTTTTGGTGGCCGGTAACGACTCGAATCAACTATTATCCAGAGTCAAGTAAGAGTAGTCCTTTCCGTTTTCAGCTTAAGCCACTAATAGGCAACCATGGTGAATCAACTCCCGTTCTCAACTTTGTAAACGGACTTTCGGCATGGTTTTTGCTGGAGAGCTTCAGCAGCTCATCTGCAAGCAGTTAGGATTGAGCAAAGCGCAATTATATCAGCTAACGAAGCCAGAGAGAGCAAGAGATAAACCTGATTGACAAGCTTGGGCTCGGCCAAAAAGGGCCATGCACCAGTTGTCAAACAAGTGGTTGCTTGTCATAGACAACAAACGTCACCAATCTAGCTAAAATCTAGGTAAACAATAGATCAGGATTATCTACAAAACATTAGTCTACTTTGCACCACTATCTTCGACAAAATTTTGGAATTTGGGGTCCTTCGCCAGAAAAATACGCGAAAACTACGGGAAAAGCAGCGCAATCACTACAATTCATCCCAAAAACATAACATATACAACAAAACAGTATATTGAAGGACACTTTGTGGTCTAACGAAGGTATTATGTCATTTGAACCGCCTGAAAAAGGCGTGTGTGAACGTCAGATGGCTACAACGCCCCAACAGCAGAAACGGCCAGGCACCCGCCGAAAATCAAATTGTGAGACATTTTGAGCCACCGTGCACTCATTCTGCTTGATATGATGGCTCAAAGACAACCGTTAGCACAGAATACTACTGCGGTAATATTCTACCAGTGCGAAAACTGGATGCCGTGAACCAAATGGCCATGAACGGGTTTGTTTTGGAAACCAAATCTGTTGGAAGCCAAAGGTTGCGCAATGTTCAGACATGGAGCTTCTCCACTCCAGATGTAAAAAACGCAGCAAAAGTGGCGTAGGCAGAAATTTTTGTTTTGGGGGATAATACCTTATGGCCTGGGAACACTTTGATGTCAAGTTTATCTTATATGATCGTATTATCCTCCGGCAAGAGGTCAAAGAAAACAGGCCTACACCCAGTTTCGGGAGACCCGTAAAACAACTGAGACCAGCAATGGCTGGCATTTTCCATCATTGTCGGCTGATCTTGTAACAAGCGTATCTATTGCATGTGCTAATTCACAGCCACCCTAGTTGACTATATAGGACGGTAAAAAGAAAAAAGCGCAATCATGGTTGCCTTATTTTATACGCTAATTAACAGTGTCCGGGTAATTATGGGACACCCTGTATTCTTACGATATCCATAGCTTAGGGAACAGCTTATTCAGACACGTGTTGGATTGAAAATTTTGACCTCCTTTATAACTGATCTCAGGTTGAGAATGCTCAGTGGTTATCGTGTAAGATTGGCGACTTCGATAGCCTTTCGACAGAGTTGACAGCCGATGGCGATAACTGGCCTGGAGTCTATTGAAGTAGCAAGGACACGCGGAGTTACCTCTGGAGAGGGAAGCCAGACATCCGTCCCGGCATCCACCGGTCTCCGGATGAGCGGCCGGACAGAGTGTGAACGGACGGGCCAAACACAGCCGTTCCCGGAAACGATACGGAACAGACGCCGCTGGCTACACGGGCACAAAGCGGCGCGAGCATGTAAAAACGGCCAGAAATGCCCCACAGAGGCGGGCGGTAAACACTACCGGACGCCCGCTGATATACGGCCGCAGTCGGCCGGACTAACAACTGACGTGCTCTAGTTCACAATGACATCGCATAACGTGGGTGTTTGAACGGGTGTGGGAAGAGATATGATATCAGCATCATCAGCCTACCTGTGCGCGAGGATGGAAAATTTGGAATCATACGATTTGTGGAGGTGAATGAACAAATATCAGTGTGCTCGCACAAAAATCGAGATAGGTCCAACGGGAGTTCAGGTGGGCCGAGTGTGATGAGACAAGGGAGCTGAGGAAGGTGATTGAAAAAAAAAATGTCGATATCGCCTGCTATACGTCACGCTGCCGATGTACCCGGCCCGGTACATCCGGTCTCGGTCAGGGTAGTCGAACCGCAAACGCCGCGAGGATGATACGAACATTTTACGGCATCCGAAAATCGTGTAGCAAGTCATTGTCTGTTAGTCGGAGTTCGTGTTATGCCTCTAGTATTGACCACTTACAGTATCACAAGGGGCACAGTTTTTTCGGGCTTTTTGGAATGCAGATGTTTTTTTGTCTTTTTGCGAACATTTTTCATAGCGTATTATTTTGGCTATAATTCCTGGAGTGACATCGATGATTGGTGTAAATAATTTACAGCGAAATAATTCAAATAATTTACATTATTTAGTGTAAAGAATAATGGAAAAGAAACGAAGGACAACAATAATCAAGCTTTAGGGATCAGTAACATGTTTGGTATTTCTAACCTATACTCTTATAGTAAATTCACCTTAAACAATTGTCGATATATTGAAGAAGGATCTGTTACGCAGCTAGCAAATGACGTGTGCCGCTTTTTGCTCTGATCTGAGAGGAATTTACAGTTTTCAAAAACAACCCAAATCGAATGAATTCGAATATTGCGTATAAGCATGTGCAAATAAGAAACAAGCCTGTACATTCGTTTCAGAGGTTTCCGAGGACTAGCTGAATTTGTATTAATTAGCGTTGATCTCCCTCGCGACGATGGCTACGGTAGGTATATCTTTGTATGTTACTGTATTTGGTGTTGATATAGGCACCTAACTGATCACCAGGTTGTATCATGCCCATGTGTTCGCCTACCTTCCGAGAACACTGCAGGCAGCTGTGCAGGTGGCGGGCCGGTCCGGCTGCCGTCGGCTGTCGCGGAGTCTGAGGGACGGACCCCGCGCACCTCTCCCCGTTCACGGAGCAGCGTCGGTCCCACGGCACTCCCCCTGACGGAGCTCCACTGGCACCGAGCGTCCGACAGAGACCGGCCCAGTTCCGCCGCCACCGACAGCCGGCCGCTATCTGCCGCAGTCGTTCGCTGTCCACCTATCTCATGGGTTGTGCACAGATGCAGCGGCCTCAGAGACAGAGTGCCGACGAGGGTGATAAGCGTGCGTCTGAGACATCGGTGGTCTCGATATGCGATGGAGATAGGTTGAAGGGTCTTTGGGTTACGCAGTAGTAGGATACTGAACAATGACAATTAATAAATTGCTTACCATCAACAATGATCAGTTTATCCCATTTGAGTTGCACGACTTATTTGCGCTTCAAAAGGCTGCATTAAAATAAAAATGATGAACAGTTTGCATCTATCTGACTTTGCAGGCGTTTGTTCCCAATGGTAAAACGGAAGATATGAAAACTAAATATAATCGCCCTGCAAACTATTCGCAAGCAACCGAGGAGTTTTCAGGGACGACGCCACCGACCTCTGAACCGTGGGCTCTATTCTTGTTCACAGGCTGTCACAGCCGCTGGCGCGCGGATGAGTGTAAACGTATACGACGTGTGGCCGCTGATATGCTGATGTAACGTAAACATTGAACGTTTTTTGCCTGAGGTATATACGCACATGCTTATTGTCCGGCCACTTCAGCAGACCTGTCATGTTGTCAAAAGGTATGTCGCTCTCAAGAGCCGTCTTTGATCGACTATGACTGGCAGAAATGTCCTAGGGAAGAAAGACCTCACGCGTCGCCATTGGCATGACATCGCTAATATTTCTGTTAGCATTGTGAAAGACACTGTAGCAAACATAGGCGGCGGAACGGTGAGGGCACCGGGGCACCGTACCCCCCTTTGATTTTGGCATTTTAACATTAGCCATATGGGCGTCGAATGGAAAGAATGGGACCAAAAGTCGGCAGTGCCCCCCCCCCCCCCCGCCCCTAAATTGAAGGTGTTCCGCCGCTACTGGTAGCAAACACATTTGCCGTGGCTCATACGAAGTTTCAAATATTCATCAACATACACCTATCAGAAATAATGGAAGGAGCAGTGACGTCACTGAATTGTTATCATTCTGTTGGCTTCTAACACAGCTTCAAAGTTCTCATAGACCTCGCTCCGCACAGTTGCGACCTGGGCACTGCACCCCGTATACCTAAACACCCGACCTACGCCATGTTGGGTGGGTCATTTCAGTGAATTTCCGTGGTTTGTGGAATGTTGTTTAATGAAATGTAGGTAGGTACAAAGAGGAAGTCCTTCAACACTCCCCTCTTCTCATTTCAGCATGCTTGTCTCGGCTCGCTCGTTTAAAATTATTGAAGCAAGTTGTTTTTAATTTTGTAGGATTTTTTCATCAAAGCAGATGTTCGATAGGATATCCAAATTGTATGTTCCACATTGATTTTTACCCGGCTGGCCTCCTGGGGACAGTGCTGGGCGCGGGCAAGATGCAGTACCTACCTACGTCCTACGTGGTGTTCAGTTCACAGCAAATCCCTGAAAGACCGTGGAAATATGGGGTTCCGGACAAAAAGTCAAATGATAAAAGGTAAAAGGATGATTAGTCAACAGACATAACGTCAAAAGCAAGAAGTCAAAAATCTTAAAAGTCAACAGGTAAAAGGTCAACAAAGAGGAAAGTCAAAAGTCAAAAAGTCAAAAAGGATAAAACGTCAAAAGATAAAAAGTGAAATTGCCAAAAAGTCAATGAACAAAAAGTCAACTAGCATAGAAGTCAAAAGACAAAAAGTCAAATGGACATAAGGTCAAAAGACAAAAAGTAAAAACGGCAAAAAGTCAAATTGCCAAAAAGTGAAAAGGACATAAAGTCAAAATCCAAAAAACCAAAAGGACAGAAAGTCAAAAGGACAAAAAGTAAAAAAAAACAACAAGTCAACCGGGCATGAAGTCAAAATAAAAAGTCAAAAGGTCAAAAAGTCAAAAAGACATATAGTCAAAATCCAAAAAGTCAAAAGGACAACAAATCAAAGGGACAAAAAGTCAAAAGGACAAAAAGTGAAGAGGACAAAGGTCAAAAGACGAAAAGTCAACAGGACATAAAGTCAAATTACGAAAAATCCAAAGGAAAAAAAGCCAAAATCCAAAAACTCAAAAGGACAAGTCAAAGAGACAAAGTCAATGACACCTGGATCATCAGTCATTACATACATGAGATAACATTTACAAACAGCTGTACACAATTAAGCAGGATGCTGCACAATATAACCTGCATCATTGGACAATGAAGCGAGACCGCCTCCATTGCGCGACTGATGGGGATTCTTCCCATGGCCCGCAAACGCGACTCAGCTGGTCACACGGGCATGCTTGGCTGAAATCTGGCACACATCCGTTGACACTTACGTGCTAGGTGGGGGCTCGCTCGCATCGTAAGGTTGTCATGAGGCAGCGTTAGGGGAAAATTGGGTAATATCGGACGGGTAACTTCAAGCCATCGTAACAAGAAGGCTGTCATTTCCTAACTGGGAGTCATTTAGATATATGAAGAAAGCCCAAAACTTTGTTTTTAGAAAGTCTGCTGAGGTTCCGGTGTTGCGTTGGAGCGCAGATTGATCCCCGAGTTATGCGTTGGCTTCTTGCTCTTTCGAACGCCACCTTCCGCGTGTCGCTCCGTGGCCCAGGAGCCGAGTTAGAAGAGGGGGAGGGGGGTTCAAACACCTCCCCCCATAGGGTAATATCGGATGGGTGTCCGATAATAGCAAACACGTATGGCCGTTCAAAATGCGCCAAAATGGGAGCAACAAACACATTGAACACAGAAAGTTGGCCCATAATCGATAACAAAAATGTTCAGGTAAGTGGAAAAGGTACAACTTGGCAGTTACAACTTCTTTATCTCTGCGAAAACAGTAACCCGGCAGTTGCTGGGGTATTTCGCCACCCACCGTTTGCTGGGGGGGGGGGGCGTTAAACGCCCCCAGCCAATAATTTGAGAACCAATAGGCGCAGCGAAACGCACGAGGCGGCAAACGAAAGAACGCGACGAGACGCTTCAGATGAGTACTTTGAAGTTGAATTTTGAGGTCACAGGTCGGGTCAAGGTCAGGTCAAACACCTGAAATCGAGCTTTCAGTAGCATGGACTTCAGGACTTCGCAATGGGCGCCTCTCGTCATAAACTCTGTCAAAACGGTGCACAATCCATCATATAAGGCCTACAAGAGTGTCAGCTCCATGCAGGGGTCAGTCAAGCATAGGTCAGGGTCAAGGTCAGGTCAACCGGGCAGGCACATATCCCCGAAAATAAAAACTGATATTCGCAACCTGTGACACATGTTTTATGGGTAATTTGGGGCGTAGAACACGATGGTGACATTCATTTTATCATATGTGTACGTGTTTGGCTAAAAAAGTTCAATTTAAGAAATTCATGTATCAAGGTCGTGAAGTAGTTACGAGAAATTGCCAAGATTCAGTTCAAGATTTTGGAAAATGCGGAACGATAATCAATAATCAAAGATGGCCATTTCATTCTTCATGGTATTGACAGTCTAATGGCGTTTACGGCATGTCTATATGTCTATTCTGTGATTTTATATGATTTTTTGAACATATGCCGTTTTTGGTCGAAAACTCAGAAATCATGACGTCACTAAAACCTCGATATCTCAAAAACTTTCCGACCGATTTTTTTGAAACTTTGTCACAATAAACTTCAATCAATTCCCTACAGGTACCTACCCAAAATTTGGCGCGCCGTTTTTATGCTATGGCCCGGCGAAAAAAGTGGGGGCGTTTAACGCCCCCCCCCCCCCCAGCAACTCGCGGGTTAATAAGTTGTATGGATGGCAGGACAAATGGCGACTATCGTAAAAAATATGACAGCCTAGTGGCAAACTGCCTGCGAGAGGGGGTGGTGACAAAGTAAATCCAGCGTTACCTTTTTTCCAAATAAAATATTTGCGTATGCACCTGGGGGAGAGTTCAGAAGATAACTGCCTGTCCGATATTACCTGCTGTCCGATATTACCCAACTTTCCCCTACATGATCCTTGGAGATAACTGGCTGTCCCAGGCGCAGTTTACTGGAATTATTTCAACAAATATAGTAACCCGGAATGTTATCGATACGAAAGGTTCGCTTGTTCAAATTTCCTATACACATTGTGTAGGGAGACGTTTCTCATCAATTGATTCCGTCACGGGTTCTATAAGCGCTTTCACACTTTTATTATAGTTCAAGCGTATTGTATGGTACAATTGGTACAATAGTAAAGCGCGTCGTTTCTTTTAGATAGGTGGAAGTTGGAACGAGAGGCAATTGTGTGCTTGTCGGATTGTCCTGCCTTGAAAGGAACGCTCATATCAGCATCAACAGACAACAACCTGTTAATATTCACGGACTGCATACAATTAAGGACAGGTGACCAATTTTCATCGAAAGGTAGGGACTGCATACAATTAAGGTGACCAATTTTCATCGAAATGTATAGGCCAATTAAGTTATCGAGATGCGATTGCTAAAAACACAATTTTTTAGGCCTTCGGAGCTGTGACGTCAAAAGAGAGGTGACAAGTATAGCGCATTGTGGCCACCAGTTACTGTCCCTCTCCTTCATCTTCGCCTCCGCCCTACGTCTCCTTATCGGAACGCCCCCCCCCCCCCCCCCGCCACCAGCAGGCACAGTACGCCAACTTTACATAGATAAGTTCACATTCCTAATATACTTTTTAAAGCAAAGTAAAAATAGGTAGGAGCGTTCTTATCGGTAGTGTCGGGGCACGCACGGGGACGCGCCGAGACGCGCTATGCGGTGCAGCCGGCGCCCAGCGGGCGGCGGCCGGGGATCAGGTGGCCCGGCGCGGGTCAGTCGCCGACCGGAGACGCGGGCTGCGGCGTACTTGAACCGGCTTGGTTAACGACTGCTGTTAAAGACTACTTTTTGCTGTTGACTACATTTTGCGCATCAACTTTTCGCGCACCTATTAACTATTTGCTTGTTGACTTTCTGTGTGTTGACTTTTAGCGTGTTGACTTTTAGCGTGTTGACTTTAAGCATGTTGACCTTTCGCGTGTTGACTTTTAGCGTGTTGAC